CATAAAATCTAAGGAGTGAAAATGGAACCTCCTAAACAAAGTAGATTAAACAACTTAATCTGGCATAGTTGTTTTAAATTAGTGGTTGATAGAAGATTTAAAATAGCAACTTTTAGTAATACCAATGGAAAAAGAAACTACAACAATGCTATTGGAAGAAAATTCCCCTTAACTTTCTAATGATTGCAGATAAACACAATATGCATAGTTTTCACAACATCCTATGATTTTTAGGCTAGATTACGGTTATGATATTCAGAATTTCTGAAATTATAAAAAGTATGTAATTCAAGGATAATATTGTTATATTAGGCCTTAGATAATACTGTAACTTACTTATATCTGCCTCTGGATTTGGTTCAAAATTATTAATTTTTCCATTGGAAATAATTAGCAGTGGAGAAAAGTTTTTGTTGTTAGTGTCAGATGATGAATAATATCTAAATTTTGCAATATACTGTGTTTGCTGGTGCTATTTTTATACAGTGAAGTGGCAACCTTGAAGGAAAACAAAGAAAGTTTAACAATAAAACATTCAACTTCTTGCCCTGGCCAATTTGGCTTAGTGGTTACAGCGTTAGCCCGAGGATGAAAGAGTTGCAGGTTCAATCCCCAGCCCGGATTCAGGCATGAGTGGGAAGCAACCAATTGATATGTCTTTCTAACGTTGATGTTTCTCTCTCTCTCTCCAACTGCCCCCTCTCTTCCATTCTCTAAAAATCAATGGAAAAAATATCCTCACTCAGGGATAAAAAATAATAATAAAACATTCAACTTCTTTTTTAATAAATAAATAATTGACATTGAGTTAAAGAATAAAGCCATACTGATGGGAGCATCTCAAAGAGGCACAGGAGCCAAACTGAAAGAGCTCTAGTGGCCAAGGTGCAAAAATTTGAACAAAGTAGTATGGGATTATAACACAAAATGTAATATGTATGAGCCCATGCTGATAGAAATAAAGTGATTAAATAAATAAACAAGGCAGAAGAGACATCTCCCATGCGGAAGAATTCCAAATATTTAAGGAGATGTTCCACCCTGAAGGAAGTGAGGCGTAACTCCCACTTCTTACGTGTAGGTGGCACATAGTGACTTCCTTCCAAAGAGCACAGTATGGAAAGGGGAGAAAAAAGTAACTTCACAGGAGAGAAACCTGACAAACACTACCTCAGCCAGGTGACGAGGTCAACACGAACAGTCCTCAGTCCTGTTGATAGTATGTACCTTTAATATTGATGCAATGAAAATGCACTCTTAACTCTGTTATCTTGTCTCCCAAACCCATAATCTCTAATCATGAGAAAAACATCAAATCCAATGACAGCCTACACTATAATACCTGATCAGTACTCCTTCAAACTGTCAGCGTCATCCAAAGGAAAGGAAAGTCTGAGAAATTGTCACAGCCAGGAGGACCCTACAGAAAAGTGGCAAGAACAGAAATAGGAGAGTGGAAGAGTGAATGAAACCTAGTGTGAATGCTGGAAGCACTAGGGGGCCCCTTAAGTGACGCCAGTCAGCAGGGATATATCCTTTTCTTCCACCATATTTAGCTGCATAGGTACAGGCAAGGGGTAGGCAGAATTTTAACTGTATTTAGCCACTGAGTGCTGTAAAGTGCACGAGGGTCAAAAAAGTGATTATGTGGAAAGAATGATGGACACTGGAAGATCAGAAGGATTTATTCGGGTCCAGTGGAGTCTAAGGTTCACTGGCGTGAGGGTAATAAGAGTGAAAAGATAGGAGGTGGAGTGCAATGGAGATTTAAGAGTTGTAGTTATTGATATTCCTAAGATAACCTTGGGTGCGTGTGGCTGGCGTAGGCTAAAGGACAAGAGCATCAGAAAAGAGACCGGGTGATTGTAACCAGCATCTTTACAGCTATTGGAATTGTCGTGAATTATGAATAATGTTAGACTTGATAACAGCGTTTTATAGATGTTTGAAGCAAAGAATGTTAGAAGTTTGAAAACCCTGGAGCTCCCTCTCTTCCATTCAGTGGCCTCCAAAAGACGCTATAAGGAGCCAAAAGGACACTCCAACCTCAGGGCAAAGGTGTGGGAGAGGAAAAGCTACCACTAGAGAATGCTGCAGATGAGGCAGATTCCTCATGGGAGAGCCAGGCCTCAATAAGTTAAGGAATATGTTTGAGGAGGGGATGGGAAGTGGGTATGAAAATAATTAAGGCTAGAAAGAAGGTGCAGAGGCACATTGGTGTTAGAATGAAGAGGCTGAGGGAATGATTGGGAGTCATGGGTTGCTTATAATCACTAACATAAATGAAGATAGAGTGTAATAAGGTTTATCCTAAATTAGAGAAGGTTAAGTGTTTGGTTAAGTACTTATTTTTATAGAGTTCCCTATTAATCCCTTCCAGTGGAAGAGTTGAAGCTCACAACAGTCATATGACCTTAACTTGAAATTGCTATCTCAAGGATAATTTCTTACAATGAAAATTTTTAAAAAAAATATTTTTATTGAGTTCAGAGAGGATGGGAGGGAAGGAGAGAGAGAGAGAGAGAGAGAGAGAGAGAGATTAATGATGAGAGAATCATTGATTGGCTGTCTCCTGCATGTCTCCCATTGGGGAACAAGCCTACAACCAGGGCAAGTGTCCTGATTGAGAATCAAACCGTGATTTCCTGGTTCATGAGTCAACGCTCAACCACTGAGCCACGCCACCAGTCAGGCACAATGAAATTTTTTAGTGAAAGTTTTGGGGGAAATGTCATGTAAAGAGAAATGATCTTAAGTAACAGGGAAATGAGCACATTCGTATACTGATGGTACAAGTGTCAGTTGGTATCTTTTTTTGATGGCAGAAACTTTAAATGAGGCTATATGTTCACTTTTTTATACAGTGTAATTATACATTATCAACATCCCTCACCAAGCTTACATTTGTTAACTATTTCTGTTTTTATTTTTTTATTATTATTATTATTATTATTATTATTTAATAGATTTTAGAGAGAAGACAGGAGAGAGAGAGAGAGAAACATTGATCAAGTTGCCTCTGTTCACTTGCCCTGTCCAGGGATGGAACCCGAGACCTGGTATGTGCCCTGATCTGGAATTGAACCCACCACCTTTTTGTGTATAGGATGATGCTAAAACCAACTGAGTCACACTGGCCAGGACAAGCTTACATTTCTTAACAATCAATGGACCTACACTGACACATTATTATCATCCGGAGTCCATAGTTTACATTAGGGTTCATGCTTGGGGTGGTGTACATTCTCTGGGTTTAGAGACAAATGTATAATGAATAGCATGTGTCCATCATTTAGTATACAGAGTATTTTCACTGTCTTAAAAATCCTCTGTGCTCTCTCTGCCTCTTCATCTATAGCTACATAGGTCTAACTCGTGTTTTTTTTTTAAACAAAGGTTTTAATAAACTTTTTTTTAAAAAAAGGTTTTAATAAACTACATTGTTTTGAAATGTAATGTGACTTGAATAAAGCTTGAGAAAGGTAAATGGGATACTGTATGTTAATGGTAGGATTGTGGTCATTTTTTTATACCCTTACATATCATATTTCTTTTTTTTTAAATATATTTTTATGGGTTTCAGAGAGGAAGGAAGAGGAAGAGAGAGAGAGAAACATTAATGATGAGAATCATTGATTGGCTACCTCCTGCACTGCCCCTACTGGGGATCAAGCTCGCAACCCCGGCATGTGCCCTTGACCGGAATCAAACCCGGGACCCTTCAGTCCACAGGCTAACGCTCTATCCACTGAGCCAAACCAGCTACAGCCATATTATATTTCTTTTATCAATGTGTATTGTATTTATAACCTACACACACACCCAAAAAAAGATGAAGCTAATTTTGAAACATCTAAAATAAAGGAAAGCCCTGGCCGGCTTCGCT